TGTATGAGTTTATTTGTTGCATTTGCTGTATATAAATATTATATACTTCAAAAAAAAAAAAAAATCTAACGGCTTTTGGATGTGTTATAGTTTCTCTTTTTATTTTTGATGAAATAATATTTGAATAATCAGAATTTTGCATGTATACTTTAAGAAATTTGTAATTTGTAATAATGTTGTCGCACAAGTGTTATTAATTCTTGATTATATTAGAAATTAATATTGAAGTATATAAATTGCCAACTCATGTGGACGACTATATATATATTCTAAAGTATTTTTAAGGCTTGAGGCTTTAATCATTATAATTACCCTTTTATATGTTGAATAAGCTTATGCATATCCAAGAGAAAGAGTGAACTACAAAACAAGAAGCAGCACCGATGGAGGAAACCGTCGGAAACCCGTCACTAAATGTGGGTTCCGTCGGTAAAAACTAAAAAGCGTTAGAAATTGCACCGTAGGAAAAGGCATCACCGACGGAACCAATTTCCAATGGAACGGATCACCACGGATTACTGACAGGTCTCATTTCCAATGGATTACCGACGGTCTAGTTCTCTGACGGATTACCGACGGTTTAAAGTACCGACGGATTTCCGACGAATATTAAAAAAAAAATTCAATTTTCGACGGATTCTCTGTCGGTAATCCGTCGGAAATGTATTTTTTTTTGAAAAAAATAATTTAAAAAACCTAATTACCTATACAATAAACTTGCTCAGATTTTCAAAGTAAATTGCAAAACTAAAACGAAATTGTTTTGCAATAAAAGCGTAAATTATATTACAAATAATTAATATCCCAAAGGAGAACAGTTCTAACAGCATATACTAAGACCAAGAAGAAGGGGGAGGGGGAGGGTTTAAAGCCTGGTATTGTGCCACGAATGCTTTGAACTACTTCGTCAACTCCTTTTGCGAAGGAAACTCCTCTGCTTGTTGACCTATCTGATCTGCTTACTCCTTTTGAGCGTGCTATTCTTCCCTCTTTCTCTGTTCTTCCTCCATTTGCTGCTCATAGGCCGCCAGCTTATCTTTCAGCGCATCTACCTGTAATTATTCAACAATTGACAAAGATAGAACAAGATTAGGTAATGATGATTAAAAACAATATACATATGTTACGCATGAAACATACCTCCTCATCGTGAGCACTAGATGAGGTCCTGCTGCAACTGCTGTTGGTCATAGCAACCCAGGGATCCTAACTGGTCCCGAAATCGTAAATCCGGCCCTTGCGTCGACCTCCGACACTATGCTTCCAGAACTCTGGGTCGTCAGAAGGAATGGTGCTTGGATCTGACCCGACGTTCAATTTTACGTTTGAAACTATCCTATATTTTTTATATATATATCTAAAGTTGGGATTAGTATGTTTTTTATTTTTGAAGGTACAAATTACTATTTTAGTATCATAATACATTGCTATTCCCAAATATTCATTATCAATCCCCTGATATTTAGCATTTAAGTAAAAGTTAAAAGAAAACATATATAATAAGGTCATATATACAAATTATGTTTTTCCACTCCAAAGTAATTTGATTAATGATGTAAAAAACAAAATTTAATTAGACTCTAAATATCGTAGATGATATACATCATACAAGTATATTATCTTCGTCAAGAAAGCTACGTATATATTAAACTCTATTACAAACTAGCGTAAAAGTTTTTTTTTTTAATAACCATGGAGTGTCTAGAATAGTTAATTTGTATACATCTCGTTAATCAACGAGTTATTGAAGTGAACAGTCAGGAAAGCCTCTTATCCATAAAGAACTTGAAGCAGTGAACATTTGAACTGGTGACCAACAAGAAGCAAACTCAAAGTTTTATCGGTGGATTTGTTACTCCAACGAGATAACTAAATATGGAATTTTTAGTACATTATTAAACTATGAATAACGAATTAATGATCTACATTAACTTCTTCTCGTCCAATCAAATGTAGAACAAATCATATGACATTATTACTCTCATTACGCTTTCAAAACGTATCCGTTGAAGATCAATCATGTAACATTTTAATGATGACGATTTCATTTGATAATTCAGCAAAAATATGGGGGAAGGGGAAGAAAAAAAACTTTCCAACGTTTCGAGAGTGGCTTTGTCACTTTCCAAATTCAGTCAAAAGAGCATTTTGGTCTTACAATTCCGACAAAAAATCTTTAAACTTTCCCCCACATCTGTTTTTGCTTTTATGCCCCTCCTTTCAACTCTTTGCTTTGTTCAAACACAAAGTCCAAAGGGTCCACTTTGGTAATTATACCACATCTTCACGTCCCCTTTGACACCTTCGCTTATAGCCCCATCACTCTATTTATACACTGCTGAAACCCTAACCCTCAAATCATATCTTCAAACCCCCTCTTCAGTTCTCTGGTTCATGATCATCATGGAGTTTGATCTTCCAAGTTTCTAATCATTATATATTGGTATGTTTTTTATGACGTCATTTGGTTTTGGTATATGTTTACATGCATGTCTTGGTATTTCTTTCGGTTTGCACAATTAACCTTCTTTAATTCACTAATTTATTTAATGAATAAAATCGCTTACTCCAAACTTAATTGTAAGAAGAAGTGTATCGCTGTATACGTTGTCTTACAAGATAAACTTCGTAGCTAGATCAATTATTTGGCCCATATATATATAGGAATAAACACAGCAAATAGTGGGGACTCATTTAGGTCCACAGTATGTACGTCCAATGTTCTTTTCTGGAAATAATTTTTGATTTACTACTTGCAAAATCTAAGGTGAAGTGATTCTTATTATTCAATTTCTAGCTACTGTATCTAGAAAATTGAAAACTACTTTGGAAGCATATAAATACATGTATATATATATATATATATATATGGGGTCAAGTTCAAGGAAAAAACCATAAAAAATTAAAAACTGAGGGCTATCATGATAACCGTTTATCTGGAACGTATACAACGCATACAAGTAATTTGTAAATAGTTTGTCTGTTATGCACATGTTCATAACATGCACACGTACATAAAAACCAAGAAACAACTTCAATTACTTGTATGTGCATGTACATACCGTCTATATGAATGGTAGAGTGTTTACTTCAATTTTTTTTTTTTTGCATTTTTAGGGTTTTTCCTATGAACATCCTTATATGTGTGTATATGCATGTATCGTATTATTTATATTTCAAAAATTCATGTTTGGTATCTAATGCTTTTCTTGGTTTCATTGAAGAAAATTTCTATAGGCACATGATGGATATAAGCTTCATGTTTTGCATATTAACAATGATAATACTTTTTTAAACGTTTTTATTAAATGATATGTCAAATTAAATATCTAAAAGATTATTCAAGCACTTGTAACAAATTCTATAGTTATTGCTTCCAAATTCTAAAGTTTGAGTTAGTTTAAATTTATTCTAAAGGACCTGTCCGGTTTAAGCTCAAGCACTTATTGCAGTTTAATTTCCCTTTTTCTGTAGTAGAATTAGTGCATGGCTCACACACATTGTGGTTCATGTGCCTTTGATCACCTTTACTTTTAACATTGTCGAATTTTAAATACATGACGCACTGGATCCAATGACTAGTTGAACATGGTTTTTCATTATGATGACAGAAAGTGATTGATCAAACTGTTGCTTGCAGTGGTGGAGTCCATCTTTCTTTTTCCCTGATTAAAGACTTACGGTTCCGATCTCGATTCCATTCCAATGGAGAAGACAAGAGAAAGAAAAGCACAGAAAATATGCTTCATGTTCTTGTTTTTATTCTTCTCATGGAGAAGCTGTGATGGCTTTAGAGATGTCAATGAACATAAACTACTTTTATCCATCAAAGCTTCCATCTATGATCCTTCCCACTTCCTCTCCAACTGGAACACCTCTTCTGCTTCTTTCTGCAAGTGGAATGGTGTTACATGCAACTCAGATTCCACACATGTCACTGGAATTGATCTTTCTGGGAAGAATTTATCTGGGAGCATCACGGAATCATTATTCCAGTTCTTGCATGTTGAAACAATTGATCTCTCCAACAACCAGCTCTCTGGTGGGATTCCGAAAAATGCCTTTTCTTGTTCTTCACTTGTTCATCTCAGCCTAAGCAATAACAACTTAACAGGTTGGATACCTGGAGGTTCCATTCCAAACCTTGAGAAGTTGGATTTGTCAAATAACTTTCTTTCAGGCAAAATACCGGCAGAAATCGGATACTTCTCCGGGCTACAATATCTTGATCTCGGTGGAAATGCTTTGGTTGGGGAGATTCCAGTATCCATCTCAAATTTAACAAGGTTAAAAGATTTGACTTTGGCATCAAATCAACTCACAGGTGGATTACCCTCAGAACTAGGGTTTATGAAAAGTTTGAAATTTATCTACTTGGGCTATAACAATTTGTCAGGTAGAATTCCAAACGAAATCGGTGAGTTAACCTTCTTGAATCACCTCAATCTTGCTTTTAACAACCTCACCGGTGAAATCCCATCTTCACTTGGTAATCTCACCGATCTCCACTATCTTTTCTTGTATTTCAACAAGCTCACTGGTCCAATTCCTAAGACAATCTTTAGCCTCAAGAAATTAGTGTCACTTGATGTAAGTGATAATCTCCTGTCGGGTGAAATTCCAGAACTTGTTTCTGAGTTTCAAGTTTTAGAAGTTCTCCACTTGTTTTCCAATAACTTCTCTGGGAAAATACCAAAATCTCTATCTTCTTTGTCTCATCTCCAAGTCCTCCAATTATGGTCCAACAGGTTTTCTGGTGAGATACCAGAAGATCTTGGAAAGTACAATAACCTCACCGTTCTAGACCTTTCTACCAACAATCTTACCGGAAAAATCCCAGACAGCCTTTGTGACTCCCATCATCTCCAAAAACTCATCCTCTTCTCCAATTCCCTTGAAGGGGATATCCCTACAAGTTTGAGCCATTGCAGAAGCTTAGAAAGGGTCCGTCTTCAAAACAATAGATTATCGGGTCCGTTGTCCGCCGAGTTCAGCGAATTATCGCAAATTTACTTTCTGGATTTGTCAGCGAACAACCTCTCTGGGAAAATCAACAGTTGGCATTGGAAAATGCAAAAACTCCAAATGCTGAGTTTGGCAAGAAATAGATTCTCAGGAAAGTTACCCGAATCCTTCGGAAGTAACAAGCTCGAGAATTTGGACTTGTCCGAAAATGATTTTTCGGGTTCCATTCCTCCGAGCTTTGGGAAATTTACGGAGTTAATGGAATTGAAAATAAGCCGGAATAGGCTCTCAGGAAAAATCCCCAAGGAATTATCTTCATGCAAAAAGCTCGTGAGCATCAATTTTAGTTACAATCATCTCTCGGGTGGAATCCCAGAAACCCTTTCAAGATTACCAGTTCTAGGAAATCTTGATTTGTCGATGAACCGTCTTTCCGGTGAAATCCCAGAAAACCTAGGGAATGTGGAATCACTTGTTCAAGTAAACATATCTCACAACCACTTCCGTGGTAGATTACCCTCCACCGGAGTATTTTTTGCAATCAATTCCACGGAAGTCACCGGAAACAACCTATGTGGTGGCGCCTCCGTCACCCATTTACCACCATGCAAAGAAATTAAATACTCCGACTGGTGGTTCTGGGGTACGGCTTTGGCTGCTGTCACGTTTGCTGCTATGTCGATTGTGGTTTTCTTGTATGTCAACCGTCGAAATGAAGCTGCTAATGAGGTGATTAAGAAAGTGGAAAGCAAATTAGATGAAGGTGGGGAATGGGAGTTGCAATTCTTCGACCAGAAAGCTTCAAAATTTATAGCGATCGACCAGATTCTACAGTCTTTGAAAGGACACAGGAGTGTGGTTGTAGCAACAAAAAAGATGCAATATTTCGTCAAGGAAGTTAAGGATATCAATCTCAATAATGACCCCATCAGAGGACTCAATGAGATTGGCAAGCTTCGGCATCCAAACATCATCAAACTTGTCGCAGTTTGCAAGTCAGAAAAAGGACGATTGATTTTGGTTCATGAATATGTCGAAGGGAAGAAGCTGAGTGAAGTCGTTGGAGGGTTAAGTTGGGAAAGCCGGGGGAAAATTGCGGTGGGAATTGCCAAAGCTCTACGTTATTTGCATGGCTGTTGCTCACCGGCGGCTATTCCTGTGGGTAATGTTTCATCGGAAAATGTTGTGGTGGTTGACGGAAATGATGAGGTCCGTCTAAATTTGAGTCCTCCGGCGATGATTTTTGCCGGCAGCACCAAGTGTTTGGTTTCTTCAGCCTACGTCGCACCAGGTAAATGTCCATTTTACCCTCAGAGTACTCACAAAGAAGTTGCATTAATTAGTGTAACAAAATTCAAATAAGTATTATTAAAAAAGGGAAAATTATTTTACATCAGTCACTAGTAAAAATAACTATTTAATTTTTTTTAATTTCCTTAATTTATTTTTTATTATAATTTAATTTAGGTTTAATAATAAATTTTTTATAAAGATAATAATTAATTATTTGATTAAAACTCAATGATTATCTTAATTATATTCTAGATTTTTTATATTTAAAATAAAATATTTATTATGTTTTTAATTATTTGTTTATCTGTAGTTAGTTATACAAATTCAAATATGAAGTTTTAATAAGTTCTACTTATACACAATTTACTTGTAATCTTGAACTTTATATAATATGCATCAATAAACAGTATTTCATGCATAAAAAATAATTTTTAAGAGTTTTTATCAAATATTTTATAAAATAGTATGGATCATTCAAAAAGGAATATTATTTTTAAACTAGTTTTAATAGAAATTATAAGGTCATGATCTGGATATGATATGTTTGCATGCATCTAAAACTACTTTCGAGTACTTCAAGAAAATCATTATCTTATAACAACTTTAGCAGTAACCCATGCATAAATGAGCCGAACAAGGTGGACAAACCCCCAACAAAACATCATGAGTTTCTTCACTTTTTGCTTTTACAACTGTACACGATCGATCATACATCGCTTGAAAGGGATCTAAATTTTTACTCCCTCCTCTCCCTTTCAAATATTTAAAAAGAGAAATAGATTTTAGAAATATATATTAAAATATCTTCGTTAAGGGGGTGTGTTAGAGTCTCACATCGATTAGATTTAGATAATTTCACATCTGTATATGTTAGAACTATTTTTTTTCTCCTCAAAGGCTCTTTCTCTAACTGTTACAAATATGCAGAGACAAAGGAGAACAAAGAGATAACCACAAGCAGTGACATTCATTGGTTCGGCCTCATCCTCATTGAGCTACTTACGGGAAAAACTCCGGTAGATGCTGAGATTGGTTTGCATGAAAACTTAATCGAGTGGGCACGATATTGCTACTCGGATTGCCACCTCGAGGCATGGGTTGATCCGTTGCTTAAGGGACAAACGCAGAAGAACCCTAGTGAAATCGTAGAGACCATGAATCTTGCCCTACATTGCACCGCTCGTGATCCGGCTGCAAGACCATGCGCAGAAGATGTATTCAAAACTCTAGAGTCTATTACAAGGTCAAGTTCTCTATGTTTCTAGTTAGGTTTAAATCAAGCTTCAGGGTTTTCCTATGACCTTGGTTTTTTTTGCTTATTTTTTAGTATGAAGTTCTCGTTTGAGTTGTAGTCTAAGTGAATGTTTTTGGTTGAATGTTTGTGTTCATCATACTCCACTGATGAGTGTAATTATATGAATGTAAGTATGATGAAGAAATGTCAAATATTTGGTTGAATAATACCAGAAAATTAATGCTTTAATATATCTTCCATAAAGATTTGATTTTTGAAATATTGATGGAAACAATCCAAAATTTAATGATGAAAGTCATGCATATACACATACAGTGTTCTGAGCAGTCTGCATTTAGCGAAGAGAAGCCTGTCATAAAATATGATCGTAGTTGCACGCGCACACACACACACACACACACACACACACACACACACACACACACACACATAT